AAGGGTGTGTGTGTGTGTGTGTGTGTGTGTGTGTGTGTGTGTGTGTGGGTGGGTGTGAGTGTGTGTGAGTGGTGTGTGTGTGTGTTGTGTGTGTGTGTGTGGTTGGAGTGTGTGTGTGGTTTGTGTGTGTGTGTTGTGTGTGTGTGTGTGTGTGTGTGTGTGAGTATGTTGTATGTTGTGGTTTTTGTGTTTGTATTGTTTGTTTTTGAGTTTTTGTCTGTGATTGTGAGTGTGTGATAAATTACTTTTATAAGATATCTGAGAGTTTGATTCATAAATTTGATAGTTATAGTGTGTGAGAGATATATTTTTACATTCTTATATATATTTTTTATATTTATATTTATATACCATTACATATATTTTTTTTTTTTACTTACATATAAATATATTTACTTTACTTATTTTTAGATATATATTTATAATTTACATTTATTGATTTATAGATTTACATACTTATTTTTTTTTTATATATATCCATACTATATATATTTATTTTTGTTTTTATATATTATACTGACTTATTTTTATACATACATATATTTATATATTAATATATATATTTATATTTATTATATAGTTATAAATATATATTTATATACATTACTTAGATTTATTATAGATATATACTTATATATATATTTATTTTTATATTTACATATATTTATATATATATTTATATATATATTTTTATTTATATACGATAATATATATTATATATTTTTATATATATATATAGTATATATTATATATATATTTATATTATATTACTTATATGTATTTATACATAACGTATAATATTTTATATATATTTATATACATATATGTTTATATACTTTTTACTTATATATATATATTATTATTATATACATTCATTTATATTATATATATAACATATATATTATTTATATTATATTTTTATTTATATATTATATAATATATACTTATATATATATTATATATATTATATATTTTTATACATATATACATATAGTTATATTATAGATTTTATACTATATATATATAGATATTATATTTATATATATTTATTACATTTTATATATATATAATATATATATATATATATATACATAGAATATAATATATATATATATATTTATATATATATTATATATATACATATATATATACTTATATAAATATATACATAATTTATATATATATATTTATATATATATATTATATATATATATATATATATATATAGATATACATATATATATATATATATAAAATATATATATAATATATATATATATATATATATATTATATTATACTTATATAAATATATATACATATATATATAGATTACTATACATATATATATATTATATTACATAATTATATATATACAGATATATATATATATATATTGATATATACATATATATATATATATACATATATATATATATACATATATATATTTATATATAATATATATATATATATATATAAATATATATATATATATATTTTATAATATATACTATATATATAGGCAAAAAATTTTTATCTTGGAGGCAAAGAAGGGATGTATGAAAGTTTGTATTACCAACATTCTTATTGGGTGTGAAGCATGGGTTGTAAATGACTGCAACAAGGAGGCGGTTGGAGGCAGAGTGGAGTTGTCCTGTCTAAGGGCGACAACAAAGTCTCTTCGTGTAAATATTATGCAGAAATTCGGAGTGTGGAAATTAGGAGGAAGGTGTGGAGTTAATAAAAGTTTAGTCAGATGGTGAAGATGGGTTGTTGAGGTGGTAATGGTTACTTTAGAGAAAATGGATCAAAGTGAATGACTTGGAGAGCGTTTATTAAATCTGAGGAAAAAGGAAGGCGGGGTGGGGTCGTCCTCGAAAAGGTTGTGAGGAGGGTTAAAGGGTTTTGTGGGCGAGGGTTGGACTTCCAGCAAGGCGTGCGTGAGCGTGTTAGATAGGAGTGAATGAAGGACAAATGGTTATTTGGGACCCTGACGAGCTGTTGGAGTAATTGAGCAGGGTAATATTTAGTGAGGGGATTCAGGGGGAAACCGGTTTATTTTTATAACCGGACTTGAGTACTGGGGGAATGGAGGTACATGCCTGTACTCTAAAGGAGTGGGTTTAGATATTGGCAGTTCGGAGAGATATATTGTGTATTTTTATACGTGTATACTTCTCAACTGTTGTATTCTGTGCACCGCTGCAAAAACAGTGATTATGTGTGAGTGAGGTGAAATTGTTGAATGATGAAAGCATTTTCTTTTTGGGGATTTTCTTTCTTTGTGGGTCACCCTGCCTCAGTGGGAGACGGCCGACTTGTTAATATATATATACATGTACACATAAAATTTGTTTTCTTTAATGCTTATATAGGTATTAAAGTAGCTTTCGAGGTGTACAGGTGACCTTCAATCTCATTGACCCTCGTGTAATCGATACGCTTTAAGCCTGTTTAATCAGCTGACTTAAAGTCATTAAAAATTTGTCGTAATTTGTCAGATTTCACATTTAAAAAATGAAGAAAAATTTGCTTGAATTGTGGTGAAACAACAAAATTTGTACATATGAAATATTTTTGTACTAATTTTACGTAATGAAATGAAAGGACTTTGGTGTAACAGTACATTACAAAAATAAAAATATTTTTCTTGTCTCAGAATTATTTCCGCTATACTACAATAATGATTTTTAGGATAATGTATGCCTCTGTAGGATAATGTATGCCTCTGTAGGATAATGTATGCCTCTGTAGGATAATGTATGCCTCTTTAGGATAATGTATGTCTCTTTAGGATAATGTATGTCTCTTTAGGGTAATGTATGTCTCTTTAGGATAATGTATGTCTCTTTAGGGTAATGTATGTCTCTTTAGGATAATGTATGTCTCTTTAGGATAATGTATGTCTTTTTAGGGTAATGTATGCCTCTTTAGGGTAATGTATGTCTCTTTAGGGTAATGTATGTCTCTTTTTATTATAAAAATAATAAAAAAGGCCAAAAGAGCAATTTTTTCATGAAGAGATGACACTCGTTGGGAAACATCCGGGTGATATATGCCAAGGAAGAAAGCGATTAATACCCCAATGGAAATAAGTCACTCTGTCTGACTTTTTTTGGGTTATCCCAGGTTCTCTACACATATGCTGCTATGTATAATAATCTATGTAACTGTATTTGTGTATACCTGAATAAAGTTACTTACTTACTTACCTAAAATAAGAATTAAAGTATGTTCTCAGTGGATGTACAGTAAGAGACATAAGCCAACCTTTCACTATGTATAACCCGAGCATCATCACTGTTTACTACTTAGGAACTCGCCCTCAGGTACCAGCTGCTGACCAAATGTCTGGGGCCCTACCAGACGCAACTCATCCCAGTAACCACTATCCCGGGCACCACTTCAGCCCCGTGCTATACCAGGATCACGGACACTCGAGGCACCGTCAACACGCCCTACCACCCTAAGAAGTACCCAGACAACCTTGACTGTGTTTACGAATTCATCAGGTTAGAGAAAAATCTAAAAAAAAATTGCTTGAAGGGAGAAATCAGTTTGTAAGAAGTGTATTATCATATTATATATTATATATATTATATATATATATATTATATATATATATATATATTTTATATTTTTATTTTATTATCACACCGGCCGAATCCCACCAAGGCAGGGTGCCCGAAAAAGAAAAACTTTCACCATCTTACACTCCATCACTGCTTGCCAGAAGGGTGCTTTACTACAGTTTTTAAACTGCAAACATTAACACCCCTCCTTCAGAGTGCAGGCTTCGGGGGGACACCTGTACCTTCCCATCTCCAGGACTCAAGTCCGGCTGCGGTTTCCCTGAATCCTTCATAATATGTTACTTTGCTCACACTTACAACAGCAGTAAGTTATTAAAAACCATTTGTCTCCATTCTCTCCTATCAAAACACGCTCACGCATGCCTGCTGGAAGTCAAGCCCCTCGCACACAAATCTCCTTTACCCCCCCCCTCCAACCCTTCCTAGGCCGACCCATACCCCGCCTTCTTCCACTAAGACTGATACACTCTTGATTCATTCTGTTTCGCTCATTCTCTCTACATGTCCGAACCACCTCAACAAACCCTTCCTCAGCCCTCTGCGACAAAGTTTTTGGTAATCCCACCTCCTCCCTAAACTTCCAAACTACGAATTCTCTGCCATTATATTCACACACACATTGCCCTCAGTCATGACATCTCCACTGCCTCCAGCCTTCTCTCGCTGCAACATTCATCACCCACGCTTCCACACACCATATAAGAGCGTTGGTAAAAACTATACTCTCATACATTCCCCTCTTGCCTCCAAGGACAAAGTTCTCTTGTCTCACAGACTCCTAAGTGCACCACTCACTCTTTTTCCTCATCAATTCTATGATTCACCTCATCATTCATAGACCCATCTGCTGACACGTCCACTCCCAATATCTTGAATAGTTACCTCCTCCATAATCTCTCCCTCCAATCTGATATTCAATCTTTCATCACCCTAATCTTTTTTGTATCCTCATAACCTTACTCTTTCCTGTTATTCACCTTTAATTTTTTCTTTTGCAACCCTACCAAAATTCATCCTACCAATCTCTGCAACTTCTCTTAGAATGGCTCCCAAGAGCTAGTGTCATCAGATAAGCATTGTGACAACTCCCCTTTGTGTGTGAGTCTTTATCTGTTAACTCCCACGCCTCTTGCCAAGGACCCTCGCATTTACTTCTCTTTACAACCCCATCTATAAATTATTAAACAAACCACCGGTGACATCACACTTCCTTGTCTAAGGCCTACTTTTACTGGGGAAAAAATTTCCCTATTTTCCTACATACTCTAACTTGAGCTCACTATCTCGTAACAAACTCTTCACTGCTTTCAGTAACCTACATCCTACACCCATACTACTTGCAACATCTGCCACATTGCCCCCCTTATCCACCCTGGTCATACGCCTTTTTCCAAATCCATAAATGCCACAAAGCCTCCTTTAGCCTTCATCTAAATACGTTCACTTATATGTTTCACATGTAAACACCTGGTCCACACAACCCCTCCTTTCCTAATAAGCCTCCTTGTTCATCTGCTATCCTATTCTCCGTCTTACTCTTTATTCATTTCAATTAATAACTCTACCTACACTTTACCAGTACACTCAACAGAAGACTTATCCCCCTTATAATTTTTTGCACTCTCTTTTATCCCCTTTGCCTTTATACAAAGGAACACTATGCATGCTCACTGCAATCCCTAGGTACCTTACTTCTTTCATACATTTATTAAATAATTGCACCAACCACTCCAAAACTATATCCCCACTGCATTTACATTTCTTTCTTTATCCCATCAATCCGGCTGCCTCCATACCCCTTTCATTTTAACTTCTGCCTCACGACTTCCCCCCACACTCACAACTGCTCTGTCCTCACTCCTACAGAGTTATTCCTCCTTGCCCTATACACGAAATCACAGCTTCCCTATCTTCATCAACATTTAAACAATCTCAATATTCCTTCCATTTCCCAATACCTTAACTCTCATTTTATAAACTCTTCTCTCCTATGTTTAAACTGACAAAATCCATTTGTTCTCTAGGCTTTCTTAACTTGTTAATCTCACTCCAAAACTTTTTCTTATTTTCAAACAAAATTTGTTGATTAACATCTACACCCACTCTCTCATTTGCTCTCTTTTTACATTGCTTCCCACTCTCTTAACTTCTCTCTTTATCTCCATATCTTCCCTTTGCAATCACTTCTACTTTGTTAAAAACTTTCATTTGCTTAACTCTTTTCTCCCTTACTACTCTCTTACATCATCATTCCACCAATCGATCCGCTTCCCTCCTGCACCCACTTTCTGTAAACCAAACTTCTGGCTGAACACTCTAACACTACATTTTAAACACTACCATACCTCTTCGGACCCCATTGCCTATGCTCTCATAGCCCATCTATCCTCAATAGCTGTTTATATTTCTTACCCTAACTGCCTCTCTCTTTTAGTTTAATAATCCTTCACTCTCTTCTTCCCTGATGCTTCTATTCTCCTTGTATCCACTACCTTTTACTCTCAGTGTAGCTTCAACTAGAAAAGTGATCTGATAATATATGTGCCACCTCTAATAAATGTACATCCTTGAAGTTCTACCTCAAAGTCTTTTATCTACCCAATACATAATCAACAAACTACTGTCATTTCGCCCTAATCATATCGTGTATACTTTATTTATCTCCTTTTTCTGTAAAATATGTATTTACCTATAACTAAACCCTTTCTATACAAAGTTCATCAAAGGGCACCCATTTATCAATTACACCTGAACCCAAACTTACCTACCACACCTCTCTAAAAGTTTCTCCTACTTTAGCTATTCAAGTCCCCTAACCACCAATTACTCTCTCACTTGGTTCCAAAGGCTCCTATACATTCACTTAACATCTCCCAAAATCTCTCTCTCTCCTCTGCCATTCTCTCTTTCAGAGTGCATACACGCCTTATATGACCCCACTTCTCGCATCCAAAACTTTCTTTAATCCACATTATTTCTTGAATTTACACATTATATTCTCTTTTCTCCTTCCATAATGATCATTTAACATTACTGCTACCCCTTCCTTTGTTTTTTTTTTTTTTCTCTAACTTCTAGATACTCCAGATTTAATCCTTTTATTTCCCCACCACTGAACTCTCCTACACCCTTCAGGCTTTTGTTTCGTTAGGGCCAGGACATCCAACTTCTTTTCATTCATAACATCAGCAATCATCTGTTTCTTGTATCCGCACTACATCACGCACATTTAAGCAACCCAGTTTTATAAAGTTTTTTCTTCTTCTCTTTTTTTTAGTAATTGTATACAGGAGAAGGGTTTACTAGCCCATTGCTCCCGGGCATTTTAGTCGGCCCATACGGACACGCAGGCTTACGGAGGAAAGATTCTTTCCACTTCCCCATGGACAATAGAAGAAATAAAAAAGCACCCTCTACCAAAGCAAAAGGAGAGAAAAACTAGGATGTATGTATATATTAATAAGCATGGTGCGTGGGGGGGGGTTCTGTGAAGTGTGACCAAAGTGTAAGTAGGAGTAGCAAGATATCCCTGGGTATCTTAGCGTGTTTATGAGGACAGAAAAAGAAACCAGCAATCTACCATCATGCCAAAACTGTTACAGGGTTTTTGTTTTCCCAGTCATCTGGCAGGACGGTAGTACTTCCCTGGGTGGTGCTGTCTACCAACTACTACCTATATATATATATTATATATTTATATATTATTTGTATATTATAATATATATTATTATATTATATATAATATAGATATATATATATATATATTGAAAGGGGGAAATATGTCATTTGCTTTTTTTGAGTGTCAAATAAAATCTTAAAATTCGTATCCTAGTTTACTTCAGGTTCTAATATCCATGTATTTTATACTAAGAAATAAAATAACCTGTAATTATCGGATATAAAATCTCATCAGTAGTTGAAATTTGCTAAACGATCAGAATATACAATAGTGGCTTTTAAAGGGGTTGGTCTTGAAAATTCCATTCTAATTTACTTAGTAATGTTTTCTCATGGATAATAATAATAAAATAATAATAATACTAATAATAATAATAATAATACTAATAATAATAATAATAATTTCTAATAATAATAATTAATAATAATATAATAATAATATATTAATAATAATAATAACAGCTGTTCCAGCAGATTTTTCCCATAATTTCTCTTTACCATCAGCTCAACTTTATTCTGCCGTTCACCTTCAGTCGAAGTCAGGATGTGTGCGGGGTGAGGATGCAGTCTGTTACCTTCGAAATGGAACCAGCTCTCATGACAATTTTCGGCGGCGCCTGCACCGATTTCCTCCACCTGCCTTCCTGCGGCTTCGTCTGCGGCAAGGTCAACTTTTCATGTAAGTTTTGGAAACTAAGCGTTATTTCACTTTCTGACCGCTAAAATAAGGCTGAAGAAATATTTTCTGATATTCGAGTAAATCCCCTTTATTTTTACCTTGCAGTACATCTATGCACCTTTCCTTCCCCATTTCCCCTCATTTTAAATAGTCTTCTCTGTCTATCGTATCAAATCCTGTAAGTACGTTGTTGCTATACCTCCCTTGGCATTTCTGTTCTCTAATATCTTCAGGTTTAGTTCTTTTAGTCTCTCTTCACAAGTCTCGTTGTGAATCTCAACACTTTCTATTGTTTTTGGACATGCTTGATTAGGTGTGGAATCTAAGGTGATGCTTTAAAAACATCTGAAAGCTAATCTTAAGTGCAGAAGTTCGCTTGATTTGCCGCTTCTGGCAATTTGCTGGAAACTATGTTGATCTTTAATTCCTTGTTAGGCTTATCGTTTACCCCTCCTCCTGCTCCTTTAATTCGTGGACGATTCTTTCATGTCTACCTGGAGTCTGCCTAGAGGGTATTCCGGGGATCAATGCCCCCGAGGCCCGGTCCATGACCAGGCCTCCTGGTGGATCAGGGCCTCATCAATGAGGTTGTTACTGCTGGCCATTTCACAGTCCAAAAATGTGCAGTTTGCACACCCTTTCTTGCGCTACGTCTGTTGCCCAGTTGAATAAATCCAGGAGAATTTTGAGACAGGATTTATCATTTCATAATCAGTGCTGGTTATTGTTTATGGAGCAGCTGGACTCCAGGTGGTTCACCACACTTCTGATTGTCTTCGTTTTATATTATTATATTTATGATCATACACTCATAGGGAATCGCTATACTCATAAGGGTCATATAGCTCCTGAGGAATGGAATGGGCGGGGTAATCAGGCTTGATCATAGTAAAGGGAGAGTAGTTCCAGTTCTATGGATCAACACCTCTTCACCAGCATCATAGCAGCAGCACAATGAATACATGCCATAGATAGTGGCCTGTAGCTTAATACTTGTCTGTACTTTCTAAAAACATAAGAACTACATTCGCTGTCTTCTCCGTTCTGATTATTACCTTGTTACTATTGACCTGTCAATTTTAACCAGTAGTTAACATGTACCGCAGTTGTCTCACTTAAAACTTGTGGTAATACTTTATCAGATTACATTGTTTTTATGCATTCATTTCAGTGTGTGTGTGTGTGTGTGTGTGTGTGTGTGTGTGTGTGTGTGTGTGTGTGTGTGTGTGTGTGTGTGTGTGTGTGTGTGTGTGTGTGCGCGTGCGCATTTCGAGGGTATTTATCTACACGTACGTTTCTATAAGAACTTTCACACCGGAGAACTATTAAAATTATTTTTCCTATGTTCTTGAGCAGTATTTCTCTTCTTTTCGCAGGGGTCGTGGCTTACCAGCCCAGTGCCACCAGCCTTAAGTTCCATTTCCACTCAGACGAGGCCACAGGTCACACAGGTTTCCTAATCAACTTCGAGCAAGTGACGCAGTGTTAATGTTGCTTGACCTCATTTTATGCTTTTCTCAAACGAGACCACAAGTCTCACCTGCTTCATCATCAACGAGTGACCCAGATTTGTTTTGGTCTGACCTTGAATAGTTTTAAGAGTCATAAGACTCTTAAAATTCTTCGGTAAGGTGAAGAATAGCACACTTAAGGAACTACGTCCTGTGGCTTCCTTAGCTGTGAAGCTTAAGGGAAATCGGCCACTCCAGAAAAAAGATCGCACTCTAATTCATCTGAGCTAATTCAGGTGGTTAATAAGGAAATAATTGACTTCTAGGGGTCCCATGATTTTCCCTGCAATCGTTATAGCTATGCACAAGAGCCTGCTAGCATGAGGAACACGAAGTGAGGCAAGATAATCGAAGCTCTCAGTTTGTGAAGCAACATGACTGATTCGCCATGAAATAGTTGACAAGTGGAGAACATCAGTTTTAAGATAAATAAATATGACTTTTAATAGAATTTTTGCATAGTTATTTAATTATGCGTGACAACTTTGCAAGACTGAAGAGTGTGTGCATTTCAATTATTATTATTTTATTTATATAATATTATTTCATTATTCAATATTATTATTATTATTATTATTATTATTATTATTATTACTGTGTTGGTCACAGAGCAACAAGTGTTATTTCAAAGTGCATACTAAAACAATGGCAAAGGAGTTATTACTTAGCATTGGGCATTTATCCTTTATTCCTACCATGAAGAGAGATAGCTCACATATCATAGAAATCTCTCAGCTACTGAGAGGCTTTGTAACCAAATATATTTCGAGCTCAGTTAAAAAAAAAACTTTGAAATATAAAATGGCTTTTGTTGTTGCGTTTATTAAGAATTAATTTGACATTTGTATTCCAAGAACTGGAGGATTTTGTCTATGGATGACCCAAAAATTCTGTGTCAATTTACACAAGATGTATTTTTATATTTGTATTTTTATGTAGGTAAAAGAACAGATATTCAACTACTTCTACATTTTAACTGTAGCAACATTTCGCTCTCCAGGAGCTATATCAAGCCGTTACGTTCTCCTGGAGAGCGAAACGTTGCCACAATAAAATATCGCATCAATTGCACAAGCGTTCTTTTACCTAACATTGTTGGTTATTCAACCAACATTATAATTTCTTTAACAGTAAATAATCCTGACAAGTTGATGAGTATATTCATCAATTCATCAATTCATCATATTCATCAATTCAGTGAATATCTAGTATATTCTTGAAGAGTGCATGTTAGAGTGCACACTTGATGGCACTATGTAATAAAACAATAATTAATTCAGTAAGAATTTTTTATGTGAAGATATTAGCAGTATGTAATTTGACATTTGCACTTTATGCCTATGATAGATTTCAAAAGTTTGTTTTATGATTTAATTAAGTTTGTCTAATATTGTTGTCTAACTCTTTGGTTGTCATGATTTGTGGTTACAGTGATCTGTGGTTGTCACGGTTTGTGGTTACAGTGATCTGTGGTTGTCACGGTTTGTGGTTACAGTGACCTGTGGTTGTCACGGTTTGTGGTTACAGTGATCTGTGGTTGTCACGGTTTGTGGTTACAGTTATCTGTGGTTGTCACGGTTTGTGGTTACAGTGACCTGTGGTTGTCACGGTTTTTTGGTTACAGTGACCTGTGGTTGTCATGGTTTGTGGTTACAGTGACTTGTGGTTGTCACGGTTTGTGGTTACAGTGATCTGTGGTTGTCACGGTTTGTGGTTACAGTTACTGTGGTTGGGCACGGTTTGTGGTTACAGTGACCTGTGGTTGTCACGGTTTGTGGTTACAGTTACCTGTGGTTGTCACGGTTTGTGGTTACAGTGACCTGTGGTTGTCACGGTGTGTGGTTACAGTGACCTGTGGTTGTCACGGTTTGTGGTTACAGTGACCTGTGGTTGTCACGGTTTGTGGTTACAGTGATCTGTGGTTGTCACGGTTTGTGGTTACAGTTACCTGTGGTTGTCACGGTTTGTGATTACAGTGACCTGTGGTTGTCACGGTTTGTGGTTACAGTGATCTGTGGTTGTCACGGTTTGTGGTTACAGTGATCTGTGGTTGTCACGGTTTGTGGTTACAGTTTACCTGTGGTTGTCACGGTTTTGTGGTTACAGTGACCTGTGGTTGTCACGGTTTGTGGTTACAGTTACTGTGGTTGTCACGGTTTGTGATTACAGTGATCTGTGGTTGTCACGGTTTGTGGTTACAGTGATCTGTGGTTGTCACGGTTGTGGTTACAGTGATCTGTGGTTTTTCACGGTTTGTGGTTACAGTGATCTGTGGTTGTCACGGTTTGTGGTTACAGTGACCTGTGGTTGTCACGGTTTGTGGTTACAGTGACCTGTGGTTGTCACGGTTTGTGGTTACAGTTACCTGTGGTTGCCACGGTTTGTGGTTACAGTTACCTGTGGTTGCCACGGTTTGTGGTTACAATTACCTGTGGTTGTCACGGTCTGTAGTTACAGTGATCTGTGGTTGTCACGGTCTGTGGCTACAGTGACCTGTGGTTGTCATGGATTGTGGTTACAGTGGCCTGTGGTAGTCACGGTCTGTAGTTACAGTGACCTGTGGTTGTCACGGTCTATAGTTACAGTGACCTGTGGTTGTCACGGTTTGTGGTTATAGTGACCTGTGGTTGTCACGGCCTGCAGTTAGAGTGACCTGTGGTTATCATGGTCTGTGGTTACAGTAACCTGTACTTGTCACGGTCTGCGGTTACAGTGACCGGTGGTTGTCACGGCCTGCAGTTAGAGTGACCTGTGGTTATCATGGTCTGTGGTTACAGTGACCCATGGTTGTCACGGTCTGTGGTGGTCACGGTTCATGAGCGAAGGAGACAAGGTTGATAAACCTTAAAGTGCATATTTGGCAACTTACCCATTATGCCTCGAAGAAAGGGCATAATAGTTTCATCTTTTGCTCAAAAGGTAATTTTTTTCTTTATTAAGATCCTTGCCTCGGTACCTGTATGAGCCTCCTTATGTTTACACGATATTATCCTGTATGATCCCTGTTTTGGCACCATTTTATTCAGTATGATCCCTCTGGTGGCACCATATTATTCCTTCTTGATCACCCTGCTGGAACCCCTTTTATTTTGTATGATTTATGTGTTGGAATCATTTGCTGCCAAGTTAAGCTTGATCAGTAGTAGACTTGATCAATCAGCTTATTCTGTTCCCAGCTTCTGTAACCCTCTGGCCTGCAGATCATATTAGTACTATTTTGATTATGCAATGGGAGACAGCAAACACATGATTTAAATCAACACTATGTACCATTTCCTGTTATTTACAAAAACAAGGAACTGAAGATTGTGATTAATATAATTTATATGAATGTTAATACAGAGCCAAATGTCTTCATACTTAACAACCAAATTAACCAATTTACATTTTTCCATGAATTTCTATTTTTTGTAACTTTACTGCTACAAGAAAAATGCTGTCATATATGAGGCATTAATTATAAAAATTCCTTTCATATTAAGTGTGCCCAAAATCAATGGATTCAATTATGTTTATTTGATTCTCACAGCATGTTTTATGCCTCCTGCTGTGAAACAAATATATGAAAGAGGTATTGGCTTTGCCACTAAAGAGTCAGCAATATGTAAGAGATGTTTGTTCTAACACAACGGATACCTAAATATGTGAGATTTTTGTTCAGACACTATTGTGAGCCAAATATATGGGATGTTTTTGTTTGCAGATAGTGAGAGAAATGGTGTGATTAATATAAGACGTTGGTACCTAATTTATGTTGTGCAGCTCTGCCTGGATAAGAGGCAACTCTTTGCAGGAACATACAGGTGTCGCCTACAAAATAACATTTTTACTAACATACTATACTTTATCTTGTGGCTTCTCTCCTTACTGGCACAAAGCCACAGTAAGATGTAAACAAAAGACAACCACTAACCCTTCTCTTAGCGTTTGTAAATCATAATCTATTTTTTACTATGTATTACTGAAGTAGACTGCTTGAATTCAGCTGTGGCAATACATTTAAACTGCAACTGTTTCATCTCATGTACTTAGACCGATTATAATAGAATTCATAACTGCATTAATGATGAACAGAGATAAGCATCGTTAAGAGGATCTGTTCTGCATAAGGTGGCATTAGCCTCCGACACGGTGGTTTGTTTTTTGAACCTTCACAGTAAGCCAAGATAACAACGTTTAACGCCTTCATGAGCAATCCCTCAGAGGATGAACTAGATACTCCCTCAGAAGATGACCTAGATATTCTCTCAGAGGATGAACTAGATATTCTCTCAGAGGATGACCTAGATATTCTCTCATAAGATGACCTAGATATTCTCTCAGAGGATGACCTAGATATTCTCTCAGAGGATGAACTAGATATTCTCTCAGAGGATGAACTAGATATTCTCTCAGAGGATGAACTAGATATTCTCTCAGGATGGGAAAGAACTAGATATTCTCTCAGAGGATGACCCAGATATTCTTTTCCCGAGGATGAACTAGATATTCCTCAGTGGATGAACTAGATATTTCTCTCAGAGGATGAACTAGATATTCTCTCAGTGGGGTGAACTAGATTTCTCTCAGAGGATGAAAATAGATATTTTTCTCAGGGATGAATAGTATTCTCTAGAGGATGAACTAGAATTTCTTCAGGGATGAAAATAGATATTCTCTCGAGGATGAAACTAGATATTCTCTCAGAGGATGAACTAGATATTCTCTCAGAGGATGAACTAGATATTCTCTCAGTGGATGAACTAGATATTCTCTCAGAGGATGAACTAGATATTCTCTCAGAGGATGAACTAGATATTCTCTCAGAGGATGACCTAGATATTCTCTCAGAGGATGAACTAGATATTCTCTCAGTGGATGAACTAGATATTCTCTCAAAAGGAATGAACTAGATATTCTCTAAATGGATGAACTAGATATTCTCTCAGAGGATGACCTAGATATTCTCTCAGAGGATGACCCAGAATTTTCAGAGGATGACCTAGATATTCTCTCAGGGATGAACTAGAATTCTTCGAGGATGAACTAGATATTCTCTCAGAGGATGAACTAGATATTCTCTCAGTGGATGAACTAGACATTCAGAGGATGAACTAGACATTCTCTCAGAGGATGAACTAGATATTCTCTCAGAGGATGAACTAGATATTCTCTCAGTGGATGAAACTAGATATTCTCTAGAGGATGAACTAGTTTCTCCTCAGAGTGACCTAGTATTTCCAGAGGCATGAACAGATATTCTCTCAGAGGAAAGAACTAGATATTCTCTAGAGGATGAACTAGATATTTTCAGAGGATGAACTAGATATTTTTCTCAGAAGATGACCTAATATTCTCTCAGAGAGATGAACTAGATATTCTCTCAGAGGATGACCTAGAATTTCTTGAGGAGACCCAGATATCTTCAGAGGATGACCTAGATATTCTCAGAGGATGACCCGATTTTTCTCTTCAGAGGATGAACTAGTTATTCTCTCAGAGGATGAACTAGACATTCTCTCAGAGGATGACTAGATATTCTTTCAGAGGATGAAACT